CAGAATATCCTTTTAGTTTCCATTTCCTTTAATACTTTAGCCCAATTTAGTTTTGATAAATCATTAAATGCACCCAAAAAATTTGTTCCGTTATCATTATAGATTATTCTAGGGCGTCCACGCCTAGCAACAAATAGTTGAAGCGGCAGAAGAAAAGCATCAGTAGAAAAAGAATTTACAAGTTCAAGATGAATGGCACGGTACACAGTGCACATGAACAGCGCAATCCACACCTTTCCTCCATTTTTTAAAAACAGACATCCAGCCAAATCAATCCCTATGATTTCAAACGGCGCACAATCCGTAACTTGGTCTGGTGGCTGAGGTGTCGGTTCGCTTGACATAGCCTTAGTTTTAAATCTTTTACAAATGATACAATTAAAGAGGACATTTTTAATGGCCTTTCTAGCTCTGACTATCCAAAATCTTTCTCGTAATATACATTGCATCATCTGAAGACCAGCATGACAGTTCTTATTATGTATATTTCTGATTAATAACTTAGTGAAATCACATTTTTCTGGTAAGAGTATTGGATGCAGAAAAGATTCATGGTCATCTCTATTTAGTATTCTCGTTTTAACTCTCAGAATACCATCATCATCAATGAGCATTTCGATAAAATTATAAGATTTTTTATCAGTAGTCAGATAATATTTTTGAACCAAACGAATTAAAATTTTCTCAGAAGTTTCAGTTTCATACTGTGAAAGTTCAATGTTTCTATTCTTTTCAAAACCATTTTTACAATTATTTACAAATCTAAATATCCATGCAAATATTCTAATCATTTTATCATAATTGGATACACTGATTCGATGCCAAGGGGGTGCGTCTTTTGATAAATCAGTATTAACTATTTTTATCTTTTTTCTCTCCAATTCTATTTCTTCATGCAAATGAATAATCTCACCAGTGGGCCAGGTTTCAGGGCCTTCTAGCAACCACAAGGGGCCTCCCCATCATCTAGATGAAGCATTTGCTTTGTAAAACATCCGCCCAATAACAAGTCAGCAATATTCAGTTTCCCTGTGGCGTGTCTCCATAAATGACCTTTCGTCAACTCTCCAATCTCTTTAACCTTATTTTCGATGAAAACGGACCAATTTCCTTGCTCTGTTATTCACCAAAGGGCAGTGATGGAATCAGACCAGAGGGTAACTTTTAAGACAGGCAAACTGAGAGCCTTGATAATAGAATTTACAAGTCTAGAACCTACACAACAGGCCATTAATTCTAAGCGAGAAATGCTTAAAGGTTTTAAAGACGATACTCTAGACTTTGCCCGTACGAGATTTATTTTTACTTCAGAATTAAATACTGATAGAACAAAGACGCACGCTGCATACGCTTTCTTGCAAGCATCTACAAATACATGTAGTTCAGACGTGTCATTAATAAACAAGTATCAAGGCAAAGTAACATCTTTCAAAACATTAAGTTCATTAAACCAGTTCAAAAATGTATTTACATCATTGGGAGACAATTCATCATCCTATGCAATTTTCACTTTCCACAATTTTTGCAACAGCAGTTTCAGAAGCAATGTAGTTGGCATTAATAAACCAATAGGATAAAAAACTGTCTGCACAATTGCCAAAATTGTCCTCTTTGTGATATTTGTATCACAGGTCAATGTATCTGTATCTGTGCAGCACCTCAACGTATCATTATCCAAATTCGAAATTACCCCCAAAACTGAAATATCCCCTGAATTATTGTCAACATTTGTACCAGCCACATTGCTTTCAAAACCGCACAGGTTAAAACATCCATTTGGCATTTGAATTAATTTGAAATGTTCAATAAAAGTAAACTGTTCATCAATATTTAAAGCACTAGATAAACAATTATCAACATAAAATGAGGATTTCAATTTTCAAGCAACTTCACTATACTGACGTGGACAGTTTTCTAATAGATGCATTATCGATGCATTCAACAAGTAGGGGGCTCGAAGAAACTCCAAACACAACTCTTTAACACTTATAAATTAATTGTTCTTCACTGTGTGGGAGAAAAAATCAGAAAATCTCTATCTTTAGATGCGACGGATAACATTAAAAAAGCCTTTTCAATATCGGTACTAATACCTATCAGATACATCCTAAAACGATCTATAATATCGGTATTAATTCAATAAGATTCATTCCTTTACACAAACATTCGTTCAAAAAGAGTTTCCCTTTCTCAGAGGCAGAGGTGTCAAAAACAGGACGAATTTTTGTGGTTTCACTTCCTAATTTGATTACGGTATATAATGACATTCATTATTCAGTTCGTTTTCTGGTACGCGTTCAATGATATTCAACCTTTCCCATTCCTTGAACAAATTTTGATAATCATAAAAAAACTTTTACTACATCTGAGTTTATAGATCATCTTTTGATACCTTTTCCAGAATAATTCTTTATTATCGGTTAAATGTGTTGTATCACATTTCCACGGAAGTTCTACTTCATATCTTCTGTCTGGAAGAATTTTCATCTTGTTCTCAAATTCAGATAACTTAAAACTTTCTTTCATTTTAACAGTTTCGATTGGAGCGAATATTCCTATTTTTTCGAGTTCCCATAACTCATTCAGAGGAATTCTCCTGACATGCATTAAAAATGTTTTCAGAATATTATCCTTTTCACCCGAATTTCGTTTTCCAAATACCATCTACCCAAGTTTCATTTTGACAGCCGTTACCCGACTGTAATTCAATAGAATTTCCCGTCAATAATTTTCCTGTAACATCTGCTCCGATTAAAAGGTTAATTTCAGTTTCCTTTTGCAATGGATCAGAAAATTCGATTTCTTTTTCTTTTAATTCATTCAAAATCTCTTTATCCTTAATCTTAGGAATAAATCTGCAAATCCTTTTTTCAGAAAGACATGCGAATGTTCCTTTTAAATTGATAACCTCGACCGAAAACACTTCATATTGTTTAGGTTTCGTTTTGTCCTCCCCCCCAAACAGTGCATGTCTAACTGTCTTCTTCCTAAGTGGAGATGCATTAAGCTGACTCATCATACTTTCACTAACGTAGCTACTTTGGCTTTCACTATCAATTATGCAGCGAATAACTTTCTTGCGACCTTGACACCGAACTCGAACACACAGCATTTGCAAAAATACAGTTTCACTTCTGCCACAGTTAGAAAGAGAACTCCCTTTTGAAACACATATCTGATCGCTATTTTTTAGCATTTGATTATACATTATGTCAAAATGATTACAACTTTTGCAAATAGAACAACTTACCTTTCAAAGGACAAAATTTACTAATGTGACTTGCTCTTTTCAGACAAGAGAAACAAGCACTTTTTTTCAATAACAATTGTTGTTTTTCAACTAAAGTCATCTTTTAGTACCTGTTCGTGGTTAAAGTCTTTCTTCCGATGATTCTGTTGGGAGGCAAAACCAGTTCTTGCGAGTAGAACCATCTCTTCACTCTTGACTTCCTGTTTTAAGAAATTCATTAAATGTTGCAAGGATCGAGTCCCTTTAGTTTCAATGGAGTCGGGATTCCAGCTTCTTTCCCACGCCATCAGTACTTCTTCTAGTAAGCAACTTTCCACTTAAGGGGGTCAAAAAATCACCGTATTTTTCTTGGGTTCTTCCCAGACTTTCCAATGTTCGCAATTTTTCTTCTAGTTCATCATAAAGGTAGGGTTGATCAGTTTTTGCTCTTCCGGTTACAGCGTTCTCCATCACTAGGCTTAACAAGTCTTTCACTTAGATTTGCACAAGTAAATCTTCACGTCCAAAGCCCTCTCTTAGTTGTTCAATGGCTTTGGGATAATTAGCTGCCGTTGACGGAAAGCTAAGAATTAGGCATTCTGCCTTCAAATTGGGTTCCATGGCCTGCAACAGATACTGCATTTTATCTTCATCAGCTATACTTTTGCCGTAGTGGATTTTCTGGAACTGACTCCAAAAAGACAGGTAATCTTTTGCTTCACCACTGAACTTTTTAAGCTCAATTTTAGGCAATTTAAATTTCCTCGATTCTGAGTTACTTGGAAGAGAGGAGGCTTGTATTTCCGCATCTATTTGAGCACACTGTTCTAGAAACTTATGTTGGTAATCCTCTGCTTCTTCAAAGCCATCCCTAAATAATTTTTCTCCATCTTCAGCCTTCAAAATCTGCTGCGAGATAGCACTCTGACATACGTCAAGTCTCTGGAATTTATCACAAAGTTGACACTTCAAAATCGAAAGTATTTTTAAATCTCTTACTTCTTTAGTTAATTCACTTTCGGTTTTCCTTGAGGTTTGAGAAAACGCAATTCTAAGTCCTTTTCTTTGAGCCTTTAAAGCGATCAAATCCATCTTCAAAGTATATTCAAAATCGAAATTCAAAAGTTCAATCGGAAAATTCTAATTCATAGCATCCGGTCCCACCGAGGGTACCACTATGTTACGAAGAACACAGAAAATATATAAATCAAATATATTTAAAACAGTTCGTTCAATTGCGGGCTGCCTATACCCGAGGCTGGGTGCAATATGAATCAGACAAAAAATTCTTAATAAGCCATTTTTTATTTTCATCAAAACAGTCTTATGCTTCCGAGATCAGCTTTCGTTCTGTCTACATGCAAAACATTCAGCACGCAGGCTGACGTCATGAACAGCAGCACCTCGTTCCAGTTATTACTTCATTTCATTTCACAACAAGTGGTTTAAAATATAACTACTTTGCGATATTGTACAATTATCTCTGAGGAAATTTCAACATTTTGTTTTATTTGTTGTGATAAGAATAAATTTTATTCACTTTTCATTGGACTTGTGCATTCAATTTATTACTAACCCGTACGCATGCAACAATATGTATATGCATTGCTAGTATTCCTCATATGCCATCTGTCAATAGATGATACAGTTATTCTTCAGTTAAATTTATAATAAGATGTTTACTTGATGTGCATGACTTTTTTTTAATCTCTCTGCATTATCATATGCTTTCCAGATGAAAAATTTTCATTCAGTTATACCTGCATTCCAGGTATATCCCACTGCATCCCATATGGATAGTATTAAATTTTCTTCTGAACATTTTGTAGCTGCCAGTGTTGAGTTTTCCATCCCTGGTAGGTTTACTTAAAAAAAATATCATTGATTTCTTATAATATTATTAAATCTTAAAATTGCTGGTAACTTTAAGTAATGTTTTACATGGATAGATCATTCTTAAGTGAAAGATGCTGCTAAATTTATTTCCTAATGTATTTTTCACACCTAAAAGTTTACATGTTAAAAAGTGGATACTTACATATTAGGGCAATCACCTTGGCAAAATTTGGTGAATTTTACTTGAACAATAACTAATTGCTGCAAAAAATATTTATTGCATACGTACATTTCATGTTTTAACCTGGTGTTTTCTAAAAAACAATAATCTGTTAGAAGCTTACAAGCAGGTTTTGTCTCTTTTGTTCTGACAGTCAAGAAAATTAGAAGCTTACAAGTAGGTTTTTGTTTTGTTCTGACAGAAATTTCCTGGTGATTGCTTCTTGAAGAAAGTCAAACCATTGTTTTTTTAGGTATTTTGTGGCAGAGAACAATTTCTGCAGAAAAGTTACCCCTGGTTTCTTCTGCTGTAGGCAAATTTCACATGCACATATTTTTAGATTGGGTTTAAAATAAAAACTAAGATTTGATTCTACAATTTGTCCATAGACAATCCACTATAATTTTCACTTTTATTTAAAATTTATATACCAGCGTAATTAGAATTTCTCTAAATATTTCATTCATAAAAGCTGGTAGAACTTGAAATATAACAAAAAGGACACATATGAAAATGGTAACATTGGTTGTTTAAACTGAAGAATATCATGCATGTGGTTGCCACAGTACGCCACATTTTTAAAATGAAAATTACTATCAAGGTGGTTGCAGTAATGCGTAAGTACCAAAAAGTGAATTTAAAATTTAACAGTATGTAGTATTTTATATTGCTTTGAATATTGTTAACTTTCCTGGGATCTCTTTTGTTGCAAGTGTAAAGAATAGCTTCAAAATGCAATGCTAAAACTATAAAAGTGTTTCTGATCATAAATTTTCCTTCAAGATATGATAGCATAATGTATTCAGTTTGCAAAGCATTTACAAATATGCAAGATAGGACTTCAAAATATTGTAACAGTCATAGTTTTAAAAGCCTGTAATACATATTTTTATTTTGAATGCAATAAATAAGAAACTTAAAGCTGATTTTTTAGGGGTGCTAAATTGCAATATAATATTTTTCCCCTAGAAATGAATAAATTAAAGGATATTGCTGTTAGAGAAGAACTGATAACAGCTGAATGGCATTCTCATTTGGACAATCTGAAAACAAAACTTGAACTAGAAAAACAGCAAAATAATGATATTTTACTAGTTGATGTAACTGATACCTACAGAAATTTGCCCAGAAAACTGCTCTCATTTTATAAATGGTAAGAACCAATAAAAATGTTCATGTTAAAAAAAATCAGATACTTATTTAACATATAAAACACACATATAGTTAGTTTGCTTTTTCCTTTCTTTCCTAGTTTGGAAACTTTTTATTTATGAAAAAATGATCTTAAAAGATTCAATATTTTGGTTATTTACCTTCTAAGATAGTTTGATTTCATTTCCTGAAATGTTGACTTTAATTACTTTTGTTATGCAACAGGTGTTAAGCATTTTTGCCATCTCTTTGATTGTACACTTTTTGAAAAATTATGCCAAACTGCCAAGTTTTGTAAAAGTCGCTCTAGTAGCTTTTAAAAAATTAGGTCTCAAAATTTTAGCTCATCAGTGTTAATTGAATTTGGTTTATATTTATTAATTTCTCTTTTTTTTTATTAAACTTATTTGATTTTTCCTTTCACATTTTGAAATTTAGGTTCATTCCAAATAAAATTCACCCATTTTTTTATGATTTACTTTTAAAGTTTCTATTTTTAAATAATTTTTAAAAATTTTTCGAAAAACATTTTGAATTTTAATCTATAAATTTTTTAACCATCATCTTAAAGCAGATGTATATTTAGACACACCTGCAAACAATTAGAGTGTTTTATTCAAAATTTTCTAAGATGAATTTACATATTGGCGCATTTTGAAATTTGGCATATTTGTTATAAGCGATAATGCCAAATTAAGTTTACGTACTTTGTTAAAATTATTTGAAAGTATGAATGATGACTTTTCTTCTGCTCATCTGCAATGAAAAAAAGGAAAGGAAAATAGATTGCTGTAAATTAAGAAGTTCGCCAAGTGAATTATTTCTGGCGCAAACTGAAAAAAATGTCGCAAGATAAATTTTTGAATTTCTCCGTAAATTTTGCACCAAATTTTACAAAATTTAATATTTAAGCATAATTTGAGTCATAGAATCAAAATATGGAAAAAACGTGGCATGTCATTTCAGAAAAAGTCCCATTCTGTGTAAAAATACTTGTAATAGAACAATGCTTATATATCTTGAGTCGCGCTTTCAAGACGTGAAAAGCGCAATTTGAATTTTGTCAATAGGCTCAGTAGAACAGATGATATAGAACTTTTTTTGCTTTTTCCTTTTGCTTTTTTTCTTCTTCTTTCTCCCCCCCCCCACAGTATACATACTTTCTCCCAGTATTTTACGTTTTGCCTTTTTCTGTATATGTTTCAGATTCAGAATATTGATAAATTATCATCTTTAAATGTACAAAATTTTATACATTACGTTTATTGCTACTAATCTATAGTATAATTGTGTAAGAGAGGTAAATAAACAAAATAAATAAGAATGTATTAAGAATGTATAAATTGGTTTGATACGGTTCATTTGATTACGACCAAGCACTCGAGGGCTATCTGCTTTTATGGGTAGGAATGACTTTATAAGGGATATTGGCTTGTATACACATGCACAAACTCAGCCCATTCCCCGAGATACAAACTCTGGAACAAACTAACAGTGTTCAGCGGCATTAGCACGTGGCTGCTGGTACGCAAGAATGTATTAGGATAAGCTTGCATTAAGTATGAATATATTGAATAGAAATTTAAGTATTTTTGATTTAAAAAAAATACTTTTAATTTTTCTATTGAAATTTAAGTACTTCTTATAAAAAAAATTTCCCATACAAATTCTGTTTACAAAATTCATTTGTAATTTTATATGATGAATTATAAAAGCATGCTGTGAAAGTTAATGACTTATATTTTTGACAATGCATTCGATTATTGGAATTAGTTAGTTATATGTCTGCGTTTTTATGATTTGTGATACAAAAGTAGTAGTACAAAATACTGTAGTAATACAGAGTACGTGATAAAGATACATTGTAGATGAATTTTGTGAAGAGAATTATTTCAGCTCTTGTTCCTATTAAACTATATTAAAGATTATTTTTGTCCTTTTAGTTCATTAATTCTGAGTTTTATATAAAAGCTGATTTTATAAAACCTTTTTATTTTTTTTTTTACTTTCATCTTTTTAGTCTAATGTTATCAATCAAATTATTCAATTGAAAAATCATTTTTCAATAAAGTTTTTGATTAAAATATTATGAGTTGCTCAGAAGCCAATGTGTTTAAATCAAATAAGTGTACTTTTTATTAATGTTTTTTGCCTGAACTTTAAAACAAAAACAAAATAATTCCTTTCTTTCGATATATGTTGGCAACACCTGAAAAACAACAAATCGTAATAACTGCGACTCTTACTTTTGCATTTTAGAATTGTTAGGAAAACATAAAAATATCACACTGAAGTGTTAGAGAAATTTTTTTTTATCAAAAGCATTAAATAATTTTTCTTTAATAATTATAAAACTCAGACTTTTTAAAATAATAAAAATAGATTCATTGAAAAGCCATACAAAATAAAAATGTCAAGGAAAATAAAACAGAATGAAAGTGATGTGCCATTTCACCCTAATTTAAAGAGAATTAACCGTGATATTGATACTGATATATCGTCAGCTAACGAAAATGTAGAAAGTAATGCAAATGGTTGAGTAGTTAGTAGGAAACATAGCAGAAGTTTCTCGAATTTCTAGAAGAAGAATGGTCTCGAAATGCCGAAAAACTAAAAATTATACAAAGTTAACAATATCAAAATAGAAATAAGAGAATAATTCCTACAAAGAAATTTAATAATAAACATTGTAATTGTTTATGGCTTTGTAACCACAACATAATCTTTTATCAAAGAAAGAAGGTGATGAAAAGTTTGTACAAGCTTAATGATCATCATAATTTTTTTTAAGGGGATTGTTTAAAGTTTGTGCATTCAAAAAATAATTACCTGGAAATAACATCAAAGGACCAAAATCTCAGTCTTTTGAATATTTTATTAAATTTAATGGCCAAGATGTTGGCATTGGTAAAAAATATTTTAAAGGAACATATCAAATAAGCAACAAGTGACTATATTAATTGTTGTTCAAAGAAAGATCTGAAGGACAACTTGGGGCAGTATATTTCAAATAACAAAATAAGATGATTCCTATGAAATGAAACATAGTTCATTTCTTGCTATTTCAAGTCATTATACAAGAGCCAGTAGCGTAAATAAGGGTATGCAAAGAATGCCGTCGCATAGGGGCCCGAAGGCTTAGGGGGCCTTGAATGTCCTGCTGAACTACATTTATTATGTTTAAACTTAAAAGACGATGGATTCTTTTATGGCTACTATATATATATATATATATATATATATATATATATTCTGTCTTTTTTTAAATTTCCAGGGGTACTCTGCGTCATATGACACAGTTGGGGGAGGGGCCTCGGAAGCAGACAAAAAAGATGAATTCAGTGTTACCTACACCAAAACTTCAACTGAATACAAAGCAGGAAAGCTAATATGCTTTTATTTTTATTCCGTTCTAGAGGAGAACTTTCAAATTATTAGTGATAACTGGGGACAGACTGTTTCTCGGGTTTATTGTGAGAACAAGGCCTTAATATTTTTAGGCCAGCATATGACAAAGACGGCAGAAATGAAGGAAATTTGAAGTCCACTAGAATTCCCAGAACTCCCCGTTCTAGGAAATGATTTTGAATTGTAGCCACATGTCAGATTTTCTCTTAAATACAAAACGAGTGAGATGGTTGAGGGTAAGAATTGCTACTTTTCTTGCGCACTGTAAACCTTACACCAATTCTTGTCTTAAAGCTTGGTTATGCAATTAATTTATTTACATAAATCTTACATTAATGGTTTAATCTCGAATAAAAGTTTAAAAAAAGGTTAAAATCATATCTCCTCTTCCTTACTTTCTATTGATGTTTCTTATTTCTTTCACAGTTTTTCACTTTTTTCATTTGTCAGATTGAAATAGTTTTCTGATGCGAAACTCTGATGCACGTTAATTTCAATACTAGTTTTCCTGTACATAATTTTATGATAATGAAATCTTGTTCCAATATTTAAACAGTTAATATTTGTATTTATTATTTTTTGTTTTACTTCAATATATGGTACATTATAAAGTTTATCCGCACAAATGTTATGTGCATTAATTATTAAATTTTTTTCGTTATTTTAAAAGCACTTTTATGTATTAAATATTTCCTTCCCTACTCGTGATTTCCTCGGCTTATCTAAAGAACTCATCTTAAATAGATGGGAGCTAATTCGCATTTTGGCATGGAAACAGAAAGGAAAAATGACAGTAAAGATCTAAATCATAAATTAACTAGTGAATTAACAATAAAAGAACTCTAGGACTTATCTAAATAGAAAAATAATATAAATTATGAATTAAATTAATATTATTATTTCTTCCCTAATTCTATAACTGATAGATTAAAATGCTTCTAGCAAAAGTTAAAAAATTGCAATGCAAAATTTTGTGCAGTATAGCTAGGCATTTCTGGAGATCATTAACATCATATTTTGTTTTGTGAAGTAAAATTAGTGGTGCATTTATGTAAATAAAAACATGAAGTTTAATTTATGGCTTGTTAAATTTCAGTTAAATTATTTATTTACATTTTTGAAAGTTGTGAATGATGAAAACGGCGATTTCTAGATTTCTAGTCTAGATATTGTTTTCCGTATAGGCTCGCGAAATTGGCATACTGTTTGTTCATTACTCATTTATATCAAAGGCCGAAAGCGTTGTCTTCCTAGTAAAAAGAATGCTATCTGAACGAACGTAACTCATATTTACTTTCATAGAAAAAATAACAAAAATGTTTATGCAGTTAGATCATTACCTAAGTTTCCTACCTAGGATGAACTACTACTGTTCAGTGGTTTTAATCAGTTGGCCACTTGTGGGAATCTGCTCTATTGATGAGACTGCCTTAATTTTAGCTCACGCAGAGGATAGGTAATGCAATGTTAAGAGTAAATATATTATTAAAACTAATGTTTAGACTGGAAATGAATGTAAAAGAAAATGTGAAATAAATTGCTTATGATCTTAAGAAACGATACAGAATATACTGCTTTAAAAAGGCATAAAAT